GTATCGTTGTCGTATCGGCCATGGCCGAGACGGTTACGACTCGGCCGAGTCATATCGGTCTCGACCAATACCTTGAACCATGGGTATTTTGGGTGTATCGGCCGATACCGAGCCATGACGCCGCGACTGAAGTGTCTCAGTGGCCCCCGAGTCAAGGACTGATACCGCGACCTTGAACCATGCTTGATAAGGCTAGTACTTGGGATTTAGTTCCTTCACCTACATGTAAAAATATTGTTGGTTGTAAATGGGTTTACAATGTTAAGACACATTATGAAGGTTCCCTTGAGCATTATAAAGTTCGATTAGTTGCTAAAAGGTTTTCTCAAGAATACAGTGTTGACCATAAGGAAACTTTTGTTCTTGTTGCCAAAATGACTATTGTTTGTACTCTGATTTCAATTGCAGCAGTTCATCGATGGCCTCTATTTCAACTTGATGTTAAAAATGCATTTTTGAATGGGTATCTCAATGAAGAGGTTTATATTCTCCCACCTCCTAGTCTTTCTTATCCTGTTGGTTATGTTTGTTACTTGCGTCGTGCTCTCTATGGTCTAACAAAAGCCCCTAGAGTCTGGTATAATATTTTCAATATGTTGTTACTCAAATTGATTTTGTTTCTAGTGCTAATGATCATGCTTTATCTATTTGTTATTCTACCTATGGATTAGTTCTTCTCTTATTATATGTGGATGATACGATTATCATTGGTCCCAATATTGTTGTTATTGACAAAATAAAGTGACATCTTTTACTTGAGTTTGAGATGAAGAATTTGGGTCCTCTACGTTATTTCTTGGGTATTGAAGTTGTTTCTTCTCCTAAAGGCTACCTTTTATCCCAGTCTAAAAATGCCAATGAGCTTATTCACCGCACCAAACTTAATAGATGACAAGGTCCTTACTACTCCTATCGAAATAAATGTCAAATTCTCAAGTCCTGATGGGGTGTTACTTCTTGATAATCCTACATTATATCGCGAACTGGTTGGTTATTTGATTTACCTTACTGTTACTCGCCAAGATATTACATATACAGTTCATATTGTTAGGCAATTTATCTATGTTCCTCGTACTTACTCATTGGGCTACCTTACTTCTTATTTTGCAGTATGCATGCGGCACTATATTCCAAAGCCTATTATTGTCGTCAACCTCCTCTCTGACTTTACATGTCTATGGTGATGCTGATTGGGCTAAGGATAGTACTGATCGTAAGTCTACCACTTGTTTCTGTGTTTTTCTGGATGATTCCGTTGTTTCTTGGAAAAATAAGAAATAATTAGTTATTGTCATGCAACTGTTGAGGCCAAGTATCGTGCTATGACCACTGCGGAGAAAGTTTGGCTTTGTTGGCTTTTAGTTGATATGAGAGTCATTCTATCTTCTTCTACTCTTCTATACTCTGAAAATAAAAGTGCTATCAAGATTGCTCACAATTCAGTATTTCCTGAGCGCACAAAACATATTGAAATTGATTGTCATTTTGTTCGTCAACATCTTCACCAGTGCACTATTACTTTACAGTTTGTATCTTCTTTGGGCTCGAAACATGAGTTTGAGAGGAGGGGGGGGAGTTGTAAGAGTGTATATAAGTTTTTATAATAAGATACATTTGTCTTTTGGGTAGTCTAGGATTTTTTTTGATTTTCTCGAGCTATATATATTCTTGTAATCTAGTTTATTGA